CAGTGTTTTAGCCACTTTCGGGGACTAAAACTGTGGTATTTACGCGGGTTCTCGCCATCTGACAGCGCAAAATGCTGTAAATTACAACACTTTGTGCGCTGTTTATGTTCAATTTTTTAAACTGCGATGCTTTCACCTGTTCTTTGCCTTCTTCCACAAGAAACAATGTTGCAGATTGAAACTGGAAACAATGTTGCAGATTGAAACTGGACGACAGCGTGACCCGAAAGAAAGCTGGAGGGAGGAGTCGCACAGAAGCTTTTACACACACAGGGGCTTTTACACAGAGGAGTCTTTACACAAAGGAGCTTTTTGCGCACAGAAGGTTTTACACAGCGAAGTCTTTACTCTAAGGAGCTTTTGCACACAAACGTCTAGGAGCCTTTACACACAGAAGCTTTTACACGAAGAAGTCTTTACACAGAGGGGTTTTTACACACAGACGCGTTTGCACACAGAAGCTTATTTTACACAGAGAAGCCTTCACACAGAGGAGCTTTTACACACAAAAGCATTTACACACAGCAGGCTGTTACACACACAGGGGCTTTTACACAGAGAAGTCTTTACACAAAGGAGCTTTTTACACACAGAAGGTTTTACACAGAGAAGTCTTTACTCTAAGGAGCTTTTGCACACAAATATCTAGGTGCTTTTTCACACAGAAGTTTTTACGCGAAGAAGTTTTTACACAGAGGGGTTTTTACACACAGACGCGTTTGCACACAGAAGCTTTTTTTACACAGAGAAGCCTTTACACAGAGGAGCTTTTACACAAAAGCATTTGCACACAGCAAGCTTTTACACACACAGGGGCTTTTACACAGAGAAGTCTTTACACAAAGGAGCTTTTTACACAGAAGCTTTTACACAGAGAAGTCTTTACTCTAAGGGGCTTTTTACACACAGACGCGTTTGCACACAGAAGCTTTTACACAGAGAAGCCTTCACACAGAGGAGCTTTTACACACAAAAGCGTTTACACACAGCAAGCTTTTACACACACAGGGGCTTTTACACAGAGAAGTCCTTACACAAAGGAGCTTTTTACACACAGAAGGTTTTACACAGAGAAGTCTTTACTCCAAGGAGCTTTTGCACCCAAACGTCTAGGAGCTTTTTCACACAGAACTTTTTACTCGAAGACGTCTTTACACAGAGGGGTTTTTACACACAGACGCATTTGCACACAGAAGCTTTTACACAGAGAAGCCTTTACACAGAGGAGCTTTTACACACAAAAGCATTTACACACAGCAGGCTTTTACACACACACAGGGGCTTTTACACAGAGAAGTCTATACACAAAGGAGCTTTTTACACACGGGAGCCTTTTGGAAGCAAATTTCGGCCTTTTGGCGGCCCCTCGGCCGGCTATTGAATTTCTCTTCTGGGATCATTGGGAAACGGCCGTTTTTGCCCAAATCCTGGCCGGGAGCCTTTTGGAAGCAAATTTCTGCCATTTGGCGGTCCCTCGGCCGGCTAATTGAATTTCTCTTCTGGGATCATTGGGAAACGGCCGGTTTTGGCCAAATCCTGGCCGGGAGCCTTTTGGAAGCAAATTTCTGCCATTTGGCGGCCCCTCGGCCGGCTATTGAATTTCTCTTCTGCGATCATTGGGAAACGGCCGTTTTTGGCCAAATCCTGGCCGGGAGCCTTTTGGAAGCAAATTTCTGCCATTTGGTGGTCCCTCGGCCGGCTATTGAATTTCTCTTCTGGG